GGGGGGAGAGGGAGAGGGAGAGGGAGAGGGAGAGGGAGAGATGAAGGTTCGAGGATTGGAAGAGAAAGAAGCCGAGATATAGATATATACACGTACAGCAGATTCACCAGGGCAGAGACACCCCCCCTATTTAATAGTTCCGCGAAAGAAGGAGAAATAAAAACGGTCCTCTCTTCTCGCGGAACACCGAGGAGGTCCGGGGTATAGACAGGTCGGTAAATCCGAAATCTCGAGGCTCTTGAACCCGTTTTGATCCGACAAGCCATGCAGTGTTGGATGTCCTTATCATGAATAATTCTATTCTAATACAATCATGTCTTCTCTCTCCAAGTGGATCTTCTTCTTTCCCCCATGTTCATCTGTCGCTGAAAATCCTCCAATCTCGGTTGGGCCTGATGACAGCTTGAAGTTGTAATCAAGATGACACTGCCCCCTACTCCCTCACTCTCCCCAAGAGGGAAAAAAAAAGAGAATAATCGAGAAACCGCTCCCTGTTCCTCTCATATATATGTATAGATACAAGATGGTGAAGATGACGATAAAACTGCACACACACACACACACATATATATATATATATATATATAGTATTACCATGAAGCCTCTTCTCCGATCCTCATCTTTCCAACCCCCGCAGGCTCCTCCTGTCACTCCTTCTTGCCGGCCTGCATCTTTGCCTTCATGATGGCATCCACCCTCTTGAAGGTAGGGAACCCCTCGATGAGGCAGTTGAGCGACCAGAGCCACCAGAGCCTCGAGAAGCGCGGGACCCTGTACCTGGCCATGCGAACCCTGTCGAACACGGCCGTCTCGACAATGTGGATGAGCAGGGTGGGCCAGAATAACAGCTGCACGACGGACCGGTACACATCGGGCCCGCCGGGCCAGTAGTCGGTCAGCAGCCTCCAGGCCTCGGTGCCGGGCGTGACGCGGGGCAGCGTGAGCCAGCAGACGATGTAGAAGACGACGCTGCCGAAGACGGCAGCCCCCACGCCCGTGGGCGGCGCGTACACCGTCAGCCGGTCGTCGCTGAGGGCCTCCCGGGCCACCACGTCCATGTCGATCAGGCGGCGGCGCGAGTCGGCCGCCGACGCCAGGGGCGGGTCGAAGACGATGCGGTGGTCCGTCCCGTCGCCCGCGCGGACCACCATGGCATCCAGCGTCATGTCCACCATCTCAGGGTTGGACGTGGCCACCCACCTGTCCACGCCGCTGTAGAATTCCAGGTAGTGCGCCAATTCCGCCTGGTGGTCGCGGTTCATGTGGTCGATTGTGCGTTGGCGGATTTTGGGGTCCATTTTGGCTTGTCGTGTCTTGGTGTTTTGGAGTCTTGGGCTGTTGGAGAGAGTCTTGCTCGTTCTCTTTTGATATTCTTGGCTCTTTTCAATAAATAAACAAAAAGATTGATTGCGTGTGTTTCTCTCTCTCTCTCTCTCTCTCTCTCTCTCTCTCTCTCTCTCGTGATGGTGTTGTGTGTTTGAAGAGAGAAGAAGAAGAAGAGAAGGAAGAACGAACTGAAAGATGACAGGGTGTTTTCCCGAATGTAATATTAACGGGTAAGCGCTCATGCAAACCTCGGTACCTCAGCCCAGACTTGAAGTGGATCAGCGTCTCTTGTTCATCTTCAATCTGAATATGCTCGTAGTATCACTACACGTCCTACCAACTTTCCTTTCTTCCCTCATTTTTTTAATCTGTTCATATGCTACGATTCTTCCTCTTCTTTAGGTTCCAACACCAAATAAATTTCCCTTCTTTATACTTCTTCCCGTACAGCCATCGAAATCCTTACTCTTCGATTCGAATACATGTATATGTACTCTAGATCATTCTTTACGCTTCTCTTGGAACCGGTGAGACTATCGTACGATTATCCAACAAGTCATGTGATACCCCTCACTCCCGTCCAAATTTCGTTATCAAGATCCCAACTCGGAGATGCGAACCGTCAGTCATGCAGCCGGCTGGGGTGTGGCCGAAAAGGGCATCCTCAGTAACCGAAACATACATTGAACAAGGTCATATCCATCGTCAGTCTTGGTGAAGTCCCAGGATCAAGAAAGAAGAGGGAGGGGGAGGGGGAGGGGGGGAGGGGGAAGAAGAGAAGAGAGACTAAACGTCACTGCAACCGATAGTCGAGCGCATGGACGTGCCAGGCAAATCGTTTCTGAATTATCAAACTACCTTGTATAGATTCCTTCACTTCCAATCTCGCAAGACCTTTTCCCCTATCGGACGTGGATTGACCGATAGACCAGAAGAATAGATCGGACAAGAAAGGAAGCAAGGGAGAAAGCTCCCAATTGTAGTAGATTCCTTGTTGAATAGTTGAAGAATTTTTTTTCTCTTTTTTTTTTAAAAAAAAAAACTTCATCTTCATTTTCTCTGCTCTCCCGAACTTTTTTTTCCCCCGCAATCTCATATCTCTCTTTTTTTTGTTCAGTGACCAAATCTCCCCCTCCAGGGGGGAAACCGTGTGCGCTTCGCCTCGTGTATCCCTCAAAAAAAAACACTCAGCTTCTTCCGAGTGGTGCATATTGAGAGAGGAAACCTCCGGATAAGAGTTTTTCTTTACTCGGGGCAGCAGCAAGACTGGACGCAGACCTGCTCCTGCCTCTGTTCCTGCCTGCAAGTGACGCGGGCGTTGACAAAGTTGACCTGCTGGGACTGACCCTGCTCACGGTTGGGCTGGGGGGAGGCAGTAGCCTGGGCTGAGGGAGAGGCGCGGGCGGCCGAGGGAGAGGCACGGGCGGCCGAGGGAGAGGCACGGGCAGCCGAGGGAGAGGCACGGGCAGCCGAGGGAGAGGCACGGGCGGCCGAGGGAGAGGCACGGGCGGCCGAGGCAGCGGAGGTCTGCTGCTGGCGGGACTCGTCTTCACCGTAGGAGGCGCGCTTGGCCTTCTTCCAACCAGAGTACTTCTCCCCAGACTCCTCCTCCTCGGGCTCCTCCTCCTCGGGCTCCTCAGAGTGCTTGGACTCCTTCTCTTCTTGGGCAGGGATAGGGGTGGGAGTGGGAGTGGGAGTGGGAGTGGGAGTGGGAGTGGTGCAGGGGGTCTCGGCGGCAGGAGTCGTCTCCTCCTCCTCCTCCTCCTCCTCTTCCTTCTCGGGCTTCTTCTCGTTCTTGGAAGACTCCTTCTTGGGCTTCTTCTCCTTCTTGGAAGGCTTCTCCTTCTTGGAAGGCTTCTCCTTCTTGGAAGGCTTCTCCTTCTTAGCGGGCTTCTCCTC